GCCTCAGAGTTCACGGGCAACGGCTCTTCTTCACGATCATACGAGACCGTGAACATTCAAGAAAAACCTTGAACTCACCGTTTTTCACCTTTTCTCTTGATTTTCGCTCCTTTCGTCCAACTTTCTACTCTGGGGCTGGTTTCACCTTTTAAATCCCGAAACACACTAAAACACGATAAAACCTAACGTAAAACCACCCTTTTAGGAGCGAAATTGCCACAAACGCCTAAGGAAAACGGGGGTATAACATGTACAATTAGGCCCGAATCAAAGCCTCTTGTCCCCATTGACTTCTTTAGAAAACAACTCAGAGCCGCTTTTTACACCTAAATTCTTGGCTCGTCGTCTCTTTTGCAAGGATTGAAAAACCATACCGGAGGTTTTATCGTAAAATTCAGCAGTAAGATATTTTATATTGAAATCGTAGTTTAATCGTTATTCAACTGTTTCGTACCGCTAAATACCGCCGGCACAATACCATTTTTCAATCCTTGCTCTTTTGTTTCTATCTTTCCCATTGACACGCTCTGCTATTGCTAAAATTGGACTCAAATAGAGAGGCCCATAAAAAATTGGGCCCGTTCTCCTAAGTTTATGGGCTTGAGTCTAATAATATAAATAAATTAAGTTATCGGTTGAAAACAACCCAACCTAAAAATACCTCTCTTGTTAGTGAACGGTAATTGGTTTTTAGCTTTATATATATTAGTTGTATTTCATGTGGGTCTTTTGAAATGGTTATCATAAATATCACGTAAATTTCATTTTGGACACTGAATTTACTATTTTATTTCACATTTTTCATTAAGAAATTTTAATTGCATTAATGATAACTCACATTACAATTATTTTTTACTAATGGTCACCATCCGTTATTTTTATCTTAGGTGACAATTATTTCTAACATTTGACTATTAAATTAATGACTTGTCAACTAAAAAATAGAAATAAAATTATTTATTTTAAAACTTGTTGATGCCAAGCTTAGAGCAGCCTGCTTCAATATGTTTAAGGTCCGGAGAGTGTTGATTTCCCAAAGTCTTTAACCACCTCCAGCTCCGTGCGAATGCCTGAAAAAAAGGTCCCACCGAGGGAGTCCTGGTTGGAACCTCCTCCGACGCTCAAATTAGTAACCTGAAGGGAATAAAATAAATATGATGACGTTAGACCTGGTTCGGTCCCACGGTCGTAATTGAGCGTCGTCGGCTATTTAATGCCGCCCGGTGGAGACTATCCACGATTCCATAGCTTAGTTCGCCAAATTGAGGGTGTGTTGAGTGTTTAGAGGTTTAACACGTTTTAGGAGATCGGGAGGAGAGAGAAAACGTTTTTAGAGAGAGTGTATATTGTGTGTGAGTTGTGTTGTGTGAAGTAGTCGTAAGCGACTTATGTGGTGTGTGTGTGACTTGTTGTGTGGAGGGACTTATGGTCTGTTGAGAAAGGGGGAGGGGTGCTCCCTATTTATAGGAAAAAGTCGTAGTTGAATTCCTCGACTTACGCTAACATTCACCAACATTTTCCATTATTCCCCTATACTCGTTAATATTCTCCGCTATACCTTAACATTCTCCGTCATACACTAATATTCCTCACCAATTATGGTATATGAGAATATCCAAGTGTGTATGCGAAAGTATGAGAAAGTGTAAGTATATAAGGGAAGGTAAAGGAGTATGGGTAATGTAAACGAGAAACATTTACGTATATGCATGAATATGTACGTAAGTAAATGAATATGTAAGAAAATGAAAGAAAGTGTAGGAATGTGTATGAAAGTGTAGGAAAGTGCATGAAAGTGTATGAAAGTAAAGAAAAGTGAAGGAAAATAAGATAAACAAATAATAATCATATAGTAATATTAATCATATTATTATATAATATAATAAGATATAATATATTAATTATTTAATAATAATTGGAGTAAAATACTTTATTTCAACGTGCAGGTGAAGCAGGTGAATACCGGGTCCATGAATTGCCCCCCTTGCCGGTAGAAAATCACGAGAAATGACTATGAATTTGGCAGGAGTTCATGAAAAATGATCGTGACTTTTCTATTGGCAAGAAGATAACAGAACATGTTTTAAAGCAATCGCTTTGCATGTTCATATCCTCGCCTTAATGTAGATCACGAGGATAGGACTGACGGGATATATGTCTTTTTTGGCATATACTAGTCTAAATAAATTGTGGCATGAATATTTTTGCACATGTGAAATTATTTTGGCACAACCTAGTGCATAATTTACCCAGTAATGAAGAGAGTGTAGAAATAATTACTAAATTAGACATAAATTTTGGAGTTTTACGTGACATATCCTGGTCATCATGGAGAGATAGTTTGACTGTATTTGGTCCCACCACTTTGCGCATCTTGTAAGGACCTTCCTACTGGGGAGTAAAATTTCCATGACTTTGAATTTTTTTGAAGTTTCTCCTCAGAACCCATTCTCCTTCCCGGATGGGTCGATTTCTCACTTTGACGTTGAAATAACGCGCGATCCTCTCTTTGGAAGCGACAAGTAGCATAAGTGCGTATTCTCTACGCTCCTCTATGAGATGTAGATCATGAGTGAGCTCGATTTGATTTTCATCGGGGTGGAATGGTTGGATTCTGTAAGAGGAGAGCTCCATTTCAATTGGCAGCATAACATTAGTGCCATATGTCAGTGAGTATGGCATCTCCCTAGTGGAAGTTTTGTAAGTTGTTCGTCCAAAGCACATGTGGTAGCTCCTCGACCCATTGGCCCTTGGCTTGGCCTAATTCTTGAATTGTGCCCCCTAATAGATGATGGGGTTAGATTGCCACCACTATTGCTTGTTGTAATAGGGCGACTCTCCGCTTTGATGGTAAGTATGTTGGTAGTATCTTGAATATTCATCACAGTGTGGCGGTGATTTTGTCAGACTTTGGAAATATTCTTCTCACCGGACCCCACGGTGGGCGCCAATTGTTGATGCCAAGCTTAGAGCAGCCTGCTTCAATATGTTTAAGGTCCGGAGAGCGCTGATTTCCCAAAGCCTTTAACCACCTCCAGCTCCGTGCGAATGCCTGAAAAAAAGGTCCCACCGGGGGAGTCCTGGTTGGAACCTCCTCTGACGCTCAAATTAGTAACCTGAAGGGAATAAAATAAATACGATGACGTTAGACCTGGTTCGGTCCCACGGTCGTAATTGAGCGTCGTCGGCTATTTAATGCCGCCCGGTGGAAACTATCCACGATTCCATGGCTTAGTCCGCCAAATTGAGGGTGTGTTGAGTGTTTAGAGGTTTAACACGTTTTAGGAGATCGGGAGGAGAGAGAAAACGTTTTTAGAGAGAGAAAGTAGAGATAGTGTATATTGTGTGTGAGTTGTGTTGTGTGAAGTAGTCGTAAGCGACTTATGTGGTGTGTGTGTGTGTGACTTGTTGTGTGGAGGGACTTATGGTCTATTGAGAAAGGGGGAGGGGTGCTCCCTATTTATAGGAAAAAGTCGTAGTTGAATTCCTCGACTTATGCTAACATTCACCAACATTCTCCATTATTCCCCTATACTCGTTAATATTCTCCGCTATACCTTAACATTCTCCGTCATACACTAATATTCCTCACCAATTATGGTATATGAGAATATCCAAGTGTGTATGCGAAAGTATGAGAAAGTGTAAGTATATAAGGGAAGGTAAAGGAGTATGAGTAATGTAAACGAGAAACATTTGCGTATATGCATGAATATGTACGTAAGTAAATGAATATGTAAGAAAATGAAAGAAAGTGTAGGAATGTGTATGAAAATGTAGGAATGTGCATGAATGTGCAGGAAAATGCATGAAAGTGTATGAAAGTAAAGGAAAGTGAAGGAAAATAAGATAAACAAATAATAATCATATAGTAATATTAATCATATTATTATATAATATAGTAAGATATAATATATTAATTATTTAATAATAATTGGAGTAAAATACTTTATTTCAACGTACAGGTGAAGCAGGTGAATACCGGGTCCATCAAAACTTTAACCTCACAATAAAAAATGTAAAAAATAATTGATTATACTCATGCCAACTGTCCACCACCACTCTCTGTCTCCTCTTTTAATCCATAAAATCCTGATCTTTGTATCTAAGAACTCTCGGATATTTTCCCCAGCTACATATGTTCTTATAAAAGATTATCAAAATACAAAAGTTTTTAAGAAATTTTCAAAATACACATAGTTTGGACAGATCACTTCAGTCAAAAGCGATCTGCAAAAGATCACACACAAATCGTTTCTTACCTCAGTGATCACTGACACATATCACTTCCGATCTTTGCAATCAATGACAAATCACTTCTAACCTCAGCAATATGTGTCTAATACACAGGAAAAAAAATCAAAGGACGATAATTTTGTGCTCGTTTATTTGATCAATGTGATTTTTTTTTTGCATAACTTTTCAAAATCTTGACAACTAAAAACAATGGAAAGTGGTATGTTCAATTTTTGTCTCCAAATAAAGACCTTTTTCGATCATCATAATTTTTTATTTTGCATAGCTTTTCAGGGGCTATTGTATTTTTAAAACTTCTTATAACTTTGTGGTCTGTAAAAATATAATAGAGTAAGGCCCATGATTTTTTCGGTTGTGAAAATCTCGAAAAGTTATGCAAAATGAAAAAAAAAAACGGCTTATTTAATGCAACAAATGGCCTTATTTGTAGACGAAAGTCGAAGATACCACTTTCGATTGTTTTTAGTTACCTAGCACAAAGTTATTGTCGTTTGATTTTTTCCGTATATCAGATACATATTGTTGAGGTCAGCAGCGATCTCACACTGATCGCTGAGGTAAGAAACAATATGTTATACGTACTAGGTACTTAGACGCATTCTCAGTTTCGATAGAGTAATTTAACTTATGTAAATTATATGCACTCATATTTTACATGGTATATGTCGTACTTAACAGATTTTTAGTTATTTTACAGAATTTGTCAAAAACTTACGCTTTAATTCTACGCTTTACGATTTTACTCATTTTCCGCTTCTAGTTAGAATCCCGCTTTTAACTGCATTGAGAGAACCCACATCAAGAACAGCGTCGACACGTCTTTCCCCAAGGGACTGTCGATCGGCTTCATCCGAAGAAGGCGCGCCTGAGAGGATATTGAAAATGGTCTGCTCGCTCGAGTTAGTGAAATTCGCTTTCCCTTTCGTCGTCAGATCGTGCTCCACCAATTCGAAGAGCTCCGTGAACACCGAATTGAACTCGAGAATCACATAATCGCGGTGGGATTTGATCAAATTGTGGAGCAAACTTGGATGAAACAAATTAATTTTAGTGGCAAACATGAACTTCTTAAGTAATTTAGTGACCAAACTTGCAATTTAACCCTAATTTAATGTGGACAGACTGTATATTTTTGGGCAGTGAAGGTTTTTTTTAAACATGACTATACCATTTTCATTCCAATCCAATTCCAACTATAGATATACCTAAAATTACATCCGGTTAACTGGATTAATCCATTCTAGTTTAATCGGATTGGACTATTTCCCACCCCTACGGATAAAAGGCTTAAGTTGAAAGTATGGGTAAATGACAAGTTTGGTCACTGGGTTTACTAAAAAGTGTCATGTTTGGTCACTAAAAATATTTAATTTCATTCGTGGTCACTAAAATTAGTTTGATGGTTCAAGTTTTGTCACTCTCCGTTAGTCTCCGTTAAGTTTATCTGATGTGGGAGCCAACTCTAATAGTTGACCGTTAATTGAGTGATGGCAATTAAAAAAAAATTACTCTTGTAAAACTTCCACCTCATTATCACAATTAATTACAAATAAATGAAACAAAATAATAGTAATTATAATTATTAAAATTGAAAAAGAAAAAAGAAAAGGAAAAGGAAAAATCCCTTCCCCAATCCCCATCGTCTTCATCCAAGCTCAACGAACGAAACCCAGATTGGTTTTGGGGGGTTTGAATTTAGAGCCATTCCCCAGAAAAACCCCTTCCCCATCCCACCATCGTCTTCTAATCAGCTAAATATCCTCTTTGTCGAGCGTTAAGGTTAAGGTTCAGGGTCCAATACCTTAACCTTCGCCAATGGATCAAGATCCATATCCGACAATTTCGTCTTCCTCTTTGCATCTTGCGAGTCCGAATTTCTTCTTTCTTTGATCCGCATCTGGCTAGAACTCAGTCGAGGGAGGAGGGAGTACGGATGGCAATGGGTCGGGTTGGGTCGGGTTTTGTCAAACCCAAACCCAAACCTATGGGTTTATCCGCCAAAAAATCTGGGGTAAAACTCATTGGGTTTGAAAAACTCAAACCCAACCCAACCCGCTGGGTATCCGCGGGTTCATGGGTACCCGTGGATTTTTGTGGTAAAAATTTACAATAACAAGTTTCTTTCAAAATAAAAGTTTAACGTCAATTTTCTCATACAAATTAAACATACAAAAAACACCAATCTAGAGCATACAAGCAAAGCGCAAGTGATTAATACAAATTATTCAAAATTAAAGATAAACATATATAAACAATAAGATTAATTGAAAGCTTCGTCAACTAAGTTTCTTCACTCTCCACTTCATAATATCAACTTCATTCTAAACAATTAAAAAGAACAAATTATACATGTCTCCACAAACATATAGAATAGTAGTTGTTTAAGAAAGATATATTATTTAGAATATTAAATATACCGGGAAAGTAATTATATGTGTGTGGGCGGGTACCCATGGGGCGGGTTTATCTAAACCCAAACCCAACCCGACCCGGTAAATAGTGTAGCGGGTTTAAACCCGAACCCGGCCCAAAACCCGTCAATATAGATTTTACCCGCGTTGACCGGGTTGGGTCGGATGGGTACCCGTGGGTTCGGGTTTTATTGCTATCCCTAGGAGGGAGCAAGCAACCTTCGAGCAGGGTAAGGAGGAAAGCTTCAAGCATATGGTTCTTTCGAAGAAAAAAAGAGCATGGAGTTGAGCTCGGGGAAGAAGGAAGCCTTCCATTTACGGTAGCAGTTGTGGCTAGTGGCTACGGTAGAAGACTGGACCACGAGGGTGGGTGAAGTTGTCGGCTTTGGAACACGAGGGCAGAAGACTTGCCCTTCCTCATATGCGTCGGAATCAGACTCAACAAGATCCTTCGTCCTCGACCAAAACTGAACACTAAAACTCACCTACTCCGGCGACAACCGCGCCGTCAAGCTGTATTCCTCCAGCAGCCAGGGGTTAGATTGAGCGTGGCGCTTGACGATCCAGATCCGCATTGATTAGGCCTTCGATTGAGCTGATTAGAAGACGATGGTGGGATGGGGAAGATTTTTTTTTTTTTAGAATGGCTCTAAATTCAAACCTCCCAAAATCAATCTAGGTTGAGTTGGCTTAGGATAGGGTCAGTAACCAATGATTACTGACATATGAGTGTACATGGGCGCTGGGCTGTGCTTGGGCCGGCACGGCAAGGGCACGCTTCGGACCCATTTATTTTGTGAAAGCACGACCCTTCTGTTTTCGTGTCGTGCCATGCAAGCCCATTTGTTAATTTTGCTAGGCCCGACCCAGGCTCGTGCCATGCTCGTATTCGTGTTTAAGGAAAAGGACGAAAATAAAACATAGAATGAAAAAGAAGGTGAAAATTGGACGCGGAAGATAGTATTAACCGATGATGTTTGAGAAAAGTAACAAACAAGGGGAAAAGAAAATTGGAAGTATAGCGAGTGTGATTTGGCTTTGTTTAATTCTTTGTCCATTTTTACTTATGTTAGTAATTACGTATATATCTTTATGACACTTCTAACAACAACAAATAATTATTTTTCTACTTGTGTTTTGTAATATTCGAACCTATAATTCTTTTTATATTTATTTTATATCAAATAAATATTATTTTTGTGCCATGTCCGTTCTTATATTCAATAAAGTCTCGAAAATATTAGGCCTGACACAGCCCACTTGTATACCGTATTGTGCCCGTGCTCGTGCCCGTGCCCATGAATTTTAGGCCTGGCACGACCCATAAATCATTCGTGCTCGTGCCGGGCTGGCCCATTTATTTCGTGCCCGTGCTCGTACCGTGCGCTAACCATGTCGTGCCGTGAAAAAAGGTACACAGTTTTGACGAAAACTTTTTGACGGCAGGAAAAATGCGTCAGATCAAGTGTTTTTTCGACGAAAAAAATTTCTCGTCAGTAATGCTAACATTATTACTGACAAACAAAATACGTCGTCAGAAATGGTAAGATTTCCCATCAGTAAAGTCCAATTTTTTTAGAATCAAGTGTCGAAGTCTAACTATTTCTGACAATCTTTTTTGTTGCGTCGGAAATAGTACATATTATTAATGATTTTTTTTTGTAGTCGTAATAGGTCATTATTACTGACGGAAATTTTAATTGTCAGAACAAATTACTCTTTCTAACAGTTAAAACGTTTCCATACGAAATTTTTTTACGATCTCTTGCAGATGTTGAAGTTGAATTGTCAGAAAAAATCATATTTATGAGGCATCCAAAAAAATCATTAGAAATAGTAAGTTTGTACCGACGACACCCCATGTCCGTCAATAATGATCTGCTAGAAAAATGTTATTACCTACAGAGCTAAAAAATTCGTCGAAAATAATGTGCTAACTCTTTAGTAAGTGAGACGAGTTACAGAAAAAAGCATACTTCTAACAAAGCCAAAAAAGCGTAAAAAATAGTAGGTTTTAATGACAAAAACTTATGTTTGTTGGTTATACTTAGTTAAAACTAATGTATCACCGATAAGGCGAAAAAAGATCGTCGAAAATAATGTTCTTGTTTGTTATAAAAAAAAATAAGAACTCTTACATTGTCAACTAATTTTAGCTATTCGAATGATATAAAGATCATTTGCGAGTATAATTAATCATAAACTGATAGTGCAATGTTTAGAACATAAATAATGTTTTAAGGAGATATATAAGCAAAATTTCATAAAAAATTGATAGTCATATATTCCGATGTACATTAATATATAATTTCACTAACCTAATTTTCATCCTCAAAATCTTGTCTAGTCTAGTTTATTTCATCATTTGCGTCATTTTGGATTGGATCAATTGACATATTATCTTCTTGGTAGGCTTCTTCTTCTTTTTCTTCTTCTTCTTCATTAAAAGTCAGTTGAAACAAATTTCTAACCTTTGTTTCCACGACGGTTTCCCAATCAGGATCTCCCAAACAATGCAAACTTGAATTGCTTGACTGGCCAGAATGAAGGGCTCATAAGTTTTGAGCTGTGTCATACCACTCACATTCAAATAGCACAACTCGAAGATCTTTTGTATAACAAAGCTCAATAATATGAATGAGAAAGCCATAGTAAGGAATTCCACCATCATTCTCCCCTCTCATAAAGACACCACTATTCTGACTGCTCTCCGTGGACTCGCGTTGTCTAGTGTGAAATCTAAATATGTTGATACAATATCATGTTAAGTGCAAGACTCTTGTTTGGTTCTCAACAAGGTAGATATGCTCCCTATAAAAAATTCAACCAACCTCGCATACCATATGGTCAATGGCTTACTCTAGGAGGGAAGAAGCCCGATGATTACCCCAATATCATCTCTACCAATGCACCATATGTTCATGAAGCACAGTGGAAAAAGAAACCAATTCCACCTAGATTTGGCAATCAACCTCAATGAAAGCTCCATATTCTTCTCTTCATAGCTCTTTCGGTCCTTCGGAGTCATCCAATGCTTCACCAAAATCTTACTACGTTGCTTTGTACCTTGAAAATCATTGAAAAAACATACAAGGCATCAAAGAATACAAAAACACAACCTAGGTTTATTAAATTCTCAGTGATCAAATAGTTATGATTTAGCCTTTAGGTATGAAACACAAGAGAATGTACTAAAAATGCATTGATAGAAGGAGAAAATGTATCAAATATGAGAGTGATAAACAATATAAATAGAGTGTCATTAGCCACTACACTAGCCTCCCTATATCACGTATTAACGCATAAACTAGCAATTTAAAGTAAGATGAGCTTTGGAAGTGCTTTGGGGAGTGTGACATTATTTCAACAATTGAAAATTGTGTACTCAATGTGCACATAAATCATTCCCCAAAAGCGTGAACATTTTATCGAAGCTGGTGTATGAAGTGCAGTCTAAACTCACCCCACACTTTATATAGGACCATGTCCTTATTGGGCCAAGCAAGGGAGTATATAAAGCAATTACCTCGGGTGTGGAAATGATTCATGCACAATCAGCTAGTTCCTTTTTATTTCGGCCCTTAACAGAAAACAAATAAAAAGAAAAATGGAAGCGCAAGTGCGTCATCTCCTCACCTACGACAATGACC